ATATGCTTATTATGCATTATGTGAATAAGTGTGAATTGTTGAATTTTGTGTATGTGATTTTTTAAGAGATATTATATATGTAGTAGTTGAGGAATATAAATTAAGTACTTTTGGGGTATTAAATATTTTTAAATACCTTCAAGACTTTTTAGAGAAATTGAGAAGTATTTTTGAAGTATTATTTATTGAAGATAAAATTTACATTTTCATAGCAAGTGAGCATCTCGGGAGTAATCCGAGGTGTCGGTTTTCCGCGTCCGGATAAATGTGGAGGGTGATTAGGTCTGCTACTACTAAGAAGTACAGTTTGAGTTTAAAAGTGATATTTGGATCGATGATCCCTTTTAAGAAGAAGTTATGGTAGTAGTAGTCCCTAATCATTCAAGATATCTTATTCAGGGGTAGTTGGTAGACTGAGTCCCGACTACTCGTTACGACTTACTACTCGGGGGGCTTGGAATCCCTTTTAGGGGGTGTGCACACTTAAGGTAGTCGTTTCGTTTCCAACATAGCAGTTGTGGTACCGGCACTTGTTTGGGGTGGCCGTCCGTAACCACGGTCCACCGGGCTCTACCGAAAGGTTGAGCACCGCCCTTCTAAATTACTAGGAAGTTAGAGAAGAAGTGATTTTTGAGGAAATCAAAGAGAAGAGTTATTATGAAGTTTTAAAGAGAAGTTGAGGATTTTTGTAAAGAAGTAGTTTTGAGAAAAATCAAAGTGAAAAGAATTTCGATGGTGTGAGTATTTTCATATATTATTATATAAAGATCTATTTTAGTCAAACATGATTATTTTACGGGGTTGGGTAGTACTTACTTAGCTCTAAAGCTAATTTTTGTTTTCTTTTCCTTGTTTTGTTTCTGCACTTTATTTGTGCAGGTGAGGATGATGTTGTCGAGTGATGATTGCTTGCATGGCCGAGAGCGAGTTAGAAGTCGCCTTAGTTATACTAGTCATGAAATAAACATTTACTTTTCAAACACTTTACTTTTATTAAATTAGTTGTTATGTTCTAGTTTCCTGTGCATCCGGTTGAGAGATGACCGGATGTGGCGGTAACACCCATTTCCCTATTTTAGACTTTCGCTGTATTTCTTTAACTCTTTGATGAATAAATAAAAGTTTTATTTCAATTATGTCAACGTTTTGGGTGAGAAATTTGGGGGTGTTACAAATTGGTATCAGAGACTTTGGTTTTCCCGAAAGGACTAGAACACGAGGTAATAGGTCGTAGGGAGAAATTCTGTCACAAAGACGATAACAGTCTAAGCTGGTTGGTGCATAATTGAGTCTTTGCGCTCGTCCAACTAACTGGGAATTTCTCCTTGTGCTGAAACTTCGTTGTTCGAAATCTTTGACGAAAACTATGGGTTGATGCGGGATTTTAAAAAATGTTTTCCTAAAATTAGGAGAATGAATATACTAGGAAAGAGGCCTTTTAGGAACGCGGTGAGAGGGAGAAACCTTGCGAAGTTATTGAGTTATGAAATGCATGGGATTCATGCCTCTGTGAAGTATGTAAAATATGTGATACACTATGTGTACTATTTGTTCTAAGAATCTGAAGTTAGTAGTGAATTTGTATAGAATCCTTATGTATGCATTAATACTTAGTACGGGCTTTTCTTTATTAAGAAACATGCCGCCAAGAAGAAACCCCCATGCGACCCCAACTGTTGAGGAGTTGGCTCAAACTATTCAGCAGATGGCGCAACACATTGGAGCAGCTCAAACCCATAACCAATGGGTTGACTATGCAGCGCGCGTGGCCGGAAGGAACCTCCCAAGATACCTGGGGGAGGAGGATCATCTGATTTTAGAAGACTGGATCCGAACCTTCGACAAGCTCTTTGATTCGCTCAACTGCCCGTTAGAGCAGTGGGTAAACATAGCGGTGTACTACTTGCACCAAGAGGCAGATCATTGGTGGGCTGCCACCGGGACAACTCTGCTCGAGCAACCGGGATTTTGTTGGGAAGACTTCAAGATAGCCCTACACGACCGTTTCTATCCGGACCATGTGAAAGAGGCAAACTATGATGAGTTTGTCAACTTCAAGCAAGGAGATTTAACCGTCCAAGAGTACCACACGAAGTTTGTCCAACTGGCCCGCTTCGCCAAAGAGCTGGTATCCACTGAGGCCAGCATGACCCGAAGGTTTGTGAATGGGCTGAACTTTGGCGCCCAAAAGTTCGTAACCATGGCAGAGCCGCGGAACATGAATGAGGCGTACCGGAAGGCCGGGAAGTACTACATGGTACATCAGAAGGAAAGGAAGGCGCAGAAGAGAGACCGGAAGATTGCCGAGGTAGAACAGCAGCAAAAGAAGGCCCGAACTGACCGCCCAGAACCAAAACAAAACAGCCAAAACGGTAGAACCTTCCAAGGACAGGGTCAGGGAAGGAATCAGCCCACTCAGGTACGGCACTACAGATGCAAACTGTGCCCAAATAACCATCCCGGGAAGGATTGTGCGGGAAATGCGGTGAGATGTTACAACTGTAATCTCATGGGACATCGGGCATATGAGTGCCGGAAACCTCCGAGCCAGGGTCAAGGCCAAGGGAACAACCAAACTGGGGGCGGGAATAATCACGCTAACATCAACCGTGGTAATCCCGGTAATCGCCCAGCGGAGGCTAACCGAAACCAAGGCCCGGGAGGGCAAAACAACACTCAAGGCCGCATCTACGTCATGAACCAGGCGCAAGCAAATGCACACGATGTGGTGACAGGTACCTTTCTTGTAAACTCCAAACCTGCTTATGTGCTGTTTGATTCAGGTGCGTCCCACAGCTTCATAGCATCAAAATTCGTGGAAAGGACGAAGCTAGAACCTACCACTAAGCTTAGTCTTAACGTAAAAACGGCCTCCAACCAAGTGGTGGCATGTGGGAGTGTTTTCTCTAACGTTCCCATAGTCATATCCGATACCGAACTACCCGGAGATCTAATCCAATTTGACCTGGAGGATATCGACGTGGTGTTGGGTATGGACTGGCTAGGGAAATATAAAGCCAAAATCCTATGCGACGAGCAGAAAGTGGTCTTGAGAGGACCCAATAAAAAACGTGTATCTTACAAAGCAGTTACATCTAAATCGGGACTGAAGCTAGCAACCATGCAACAAGTCAAACGATATGCCCGAAAGGGGTATGAAGTTTACTTGTGCAGGATCAAAGACTTGACCTCCGAGGATCCGACCATTGACCAAATCCCAGTGGTCAATGAGTTTCCGGATGTATTCCCAGAAGAGATTCCGGGGATGCCACCGGAGAGGGAAGTCGAGTTCTCAATCGACCTTCTGCCGGGCACCGCACCCATCTCAAAGGCACCATACCGAATGGCACCGAAGGAGATGCAAGAACTGAAAGAACAACTTGAAGAATTATTGGAGAAAGGCTACATCAAACCGAGTATCTCACCTTGGGGTGCTCCGGTCTTGTTTGTGAAGAAGGATGGGAGTCTGAGACTCTGCATTGACTATAGGGAGCTGAACAAAGCGACCATCAAGAACAAATACATGCTGCCTCGCATTGATGACCTCTTTGATCAACTGAAGGGAGCTAGCACGTTTTCCAAAGTTGATTTAAGGTCCGGGTACCATCAAGTGAGGATTTTTGAAAAAGATATCCCGAAGACGGCCTTTCGAACAAGGTACTAGGTCTAAGGCAGCAGGTTTTGAGGTACTCAACCATCTTGAGGAGGAATTCCCTGAGCTCGCAGAATCAGTGAAGGGACCTGCGGTTATTGCTGAAAAAATTGCAGGTCCTGCTGCAAGATGCGGTTCTGCCACTTGGCCTGCAGGTACTGAACATGCTAAATGTGTTTCTGCCACTAGGCAGACTGTTTCAGGCCACAATTCTGGGAAGAATTTCACAACCACTGGTGGCCAGAAGGATGGAGAACATGCTGCTAACACTGCAGACATGGATGATACTCATGGAAATGAAAAAACACCTACTACTTCTAAGGCTTTAGTTCCTGTGACTAAAGCACCTACTGCAATCAACTCACCTGCTGCTGGGAAAGGTGAAGCTGCTAAACAGACACCTGCTGTAGAAAATTTGACAAAGGATGATAGTGTCAAAACTGTGGCAGTAACCATAGATAACGAGCAGGCAGCCCAGGCCAAACCTTGGAATGCCTTTTTTAAGGATAACCGTGACCCAAAGCATGGTATCAAACTGAAATATGTCCCTCCTAAAGGGGAAACCTTGGACTTTGGTGATCGTGTTTTACCCTCCATGGTCGAAATGTGGGGCTTTTGCCTAGTTGGACACTTTACCGGAAATTTTCCCGGACTTAAAGCGGTTCATGATCTCAAAGCTACATGGGGTGTGAGATGTTTTGTGAGGTCCCATAACAAGGGATGGGTAATCTTTAAATTCACTAATGAGGAGGATAGATTGAAAGTACTACATGACGGTCCTTACAATGTGTTTGGGAAACTCCTTATGCTAAAAGAACTTTTGGATGACTTCTCGTTTGAGGATGAGGAGTTTCTTAAAGTACCAATTTGGGTCAAGTTCCCTAAATTACCAATGAAGCTATGGAATGATGAAGCTATGAGTGAGGTAGCATCTATGATTGGGGTCCCAATAACCACGGACAAAATTACTCAAGAGAGGGCAAACAATGAATATGCTAGAGTGCTTATTGAAGTGGACGTTTCAAAGCCACCACCACTTTCGTTTCCGATACGACTACCTTCCAAAAAGGTAATCAAACAAAGTGTGCTTTATGAAACTTTTCCTAATTATTGCTTTCATTGCAAAGAATTTGGGCACCACCCTTTTATTTGTAAAAAGCTAGTCAAAAGGGTTGATGGAGCAAGTGAAAAAGAACCCAGAGTTGAAACAAATAAAGATATTGAGAGTGTGGCCACTCAGACAGATGTTGCTGCCCAAGGAAACCAGACCGGGCATACCTCTGGCCCGACCGGGCCTCTTGTAAAAACTGCACCAGCTGTGGAACGTGCTGCCTACACACCTGAGCATACCAAACTGACCGGGTCTGTCGGGCAACGTGCAAAGGAGACATATGCTAATGTTGAAAAAGCTGCTGCCAGGAAACCAGCGCCTGACTGAGAAATGGGTTTCAGGCGTGTTGAGAGCGTCTCTCTCTGGAACCCTCGTTCCAGACTCACGCGGCAGGATGGAGGTCTCCGATTCTGGTTTTGAGCTGTTAGTTAGTTGCGATTTTCGTTCCTTGTTGCAGTTCATACTCCGGCGACGTGGGAAGAATATCGATTTAGAGCTTAAAAGCTCCAAATCGATCTATTTTCGCGCAAAGGAGTGTTCATTAGATTTTGAGAACGACTCCTTGTTCGTTGTTTCTTTTTCATTCTGCTAGTTGTGCGTAGATTTAACGGTGCGTAGCTCTGTAATTTCTAAGTTGAATTTTTGGGTGCATGCTATAACCTGGGAACGAAGGTTGATTTTTAATTTCAATCTTTGTTTTACTGTACTACCCGTACCTGGGATGACGAGAAGGAAACAGGGCTTTGTGGCGACTCCTTCGACAAGAACCACCAGGTCCTCTAGCTTTGTTGTGCTGGATTCCATGGAGGACGATTTTCCTGTTTTGACCTCCTTACTTGCTGTAAGACCTGGAACGGCTAAACCAGTGAAGAAGCCTATTGATACACCTGCTGCATCTAGTAAGGTGTCCGCTGCTGAAGAAACTGTCCTGCAGACTGAGACCTGTAAAGCTGGGCACTCTCCCTCAACTGCTGCAGGAGGGACTGCTGCTATATCAGCTGAACCTGCTGCTGGAGCTATGTTAACTGTTGGAATAGCTCCTGCTGCTACTCCCAGTTCTGGTCACTCTAAAATTAACTCTGGACAGACTCCTGCTGCAAAATCTACTGCTGGATCTTGTGCTTTAACTGAGATCCCAGCTCCTAGGAATGTAGGGACTGATGGGAATAATAAGCTTGGGCAGAAAACAGATGCTGGACAGACCACCAAAGCCATAACTTTGTCGAAGAATCCTGAAACTAAACCTTGGAACTCACTATTTAAAGACAATCGAGCTCCGTCCGAAGGGCTTAAACTGAGGTATATTCCACCAACTAGTGATATTCTTGATTTTTCAGACCGTGTGCTACCTTCAATGGTGGATATCTTTGGCTACTGTCTGGTGGGCTTTTTCACGGGAAGGTTTCCTGGTTTAAAGGCAACCTATAGCCTTACAAAAAAATGGGGAGTACATTGTGAAGTCAAACCACATGATAAGGGTTGGGTTGTTTTTAAATTCAAGAGTGAAGCTGATAGGACTAAGGTTATGATTGAGGGGCCTTATATTCTCTATGGGAAGCTACTGGTTCTGAAGGTTCTGTCTGATGATTTTTCCTTTGAAGATGATGAGTTCTTGAAGGTGCCGATTTGGATAAAATTCCCTAAGCTCCCTGTGAGGTTGTGGAATGAGGATACTATTAGCGAAGTTGCTTCTAAGGTTGGAGTTCCTCTCACCATGGATAGGATAACGCTTGAAAAGGCAAACCACAACTACGCGAGAGTATTAATTGAAGTGGACGTGACAAAGCCACCTCCCCTCTCATTCCCAATCAAGATGGCGTCAGGAAGGATTTTTGAGCAACGGGTTCTCTATGAAACGTTTCCGAACTACTGTTTCCATTGCAAACAATACGGGCACCATCCCTTCATTTGCAAGGAACTAGAAGCAAAAGAAAAGGTTGAAATCGACGAACCAGAGAAGGTTGAGACTATAATAATAGCTACAACGAAGGCTACTGAGGCTACGAAGGCCATTGTTGGGACTGTGGACCCGTAAGGGGAATTTGTGGAAGTACGTAGGCGGGACGGAAAGAAGATTGCAAAGCCGGTGATACCTCAAACCCAGGTTGCCGCTGCTGTAATTGCTGATGCGATTGAACCTACTGGAACTACGGTTTTAGAAACTATTGTTCTGGATGTCGCTGATACGCCAAGTATTACTACGGCTGGTGGAATTGGGAAAACTAAGGCTACTATGGAGGGGGGAAAACCTGCTGCTGGCCTACTGGAAATTGAAGAACAGGCTGTGGGCTTACTGGCAGAACCTCCTGCGGCTGAAGTGCAGGGACTGCAGCCACCCATTGCTTTGAAAGCGGCTGCTCAAATGGAGGTACTGCCCCCACAGCAAACGACGGATAAGGAGGATACAATTCCTGAACAATCTGGTACTAAACCTTGGGAACCATTCATAGTTGAGGATGTTGAAATAACTTGTAGAAATGGGAAGAAAAGTACTATTCGATTTATGAGACCCAACAAATGAGCTGGGATAGTTCGTTGTTTCTGGCCTGACTGAGTTCACTGTATTGGTGCTCAGACTTTGTTTTTCTTTTGAGGTTTCTGTCTTTGTGGCTGGACTAACGGAGATTTTGTGAAGATTTATATTTAGGTTAGATTAGTCTAACTTAGATAGTTATCTTGATCAGAACTTGACACATTGTAAAATGTTATTTTTGGGTGTTTTATATATACTTACATTCCATCCAAAAAAAGAAAAAGCTGCTGCCAAGGTTAAAACTGCTGCCAAGAAGGTTGAAAACACACCTGCAAATGTTGAAACAGCTGCTGCCAAAGGTAAAAATGCTGAAAACACACCTGCTAATGTTGAAACAGCTGCTGCCAAGAGTCAACCTGCTGCCCATGAGATTAAGACTGTTTCCACAGGGCAGATTGATGCCCAGCAGCCTGCTAAACTTTCTGCCATGGTAGTGAACAAAGATGTAACGACACCAGCTGCCAAGGGAGCTAATCCAACTGCCCAGGGACCTTCACAATCTGCCCAAGGACACCCGAACAGGTTACAAGGGCAGACTGCCCAGGGGATTGAAGTGGCTGCTGCGCAAGGAAGAATCACAATTGGGCAACTTATGGGTGTGCAAACTAACCATGAGTCTTCCGAGGATGAAGACGACGAGGTCTTTTTGGAAGGAAATGAAAGACTAGTAACGAGTGAGACCGACATGCACCTAAACGATGTTGTAATCAAATGTGAGGTGGTGAATGGGAAGAGGTTTAGGCTTTTTGTTAAACCGTTTAAATTTGTGCATGCTAATGTGATTAGAGTGGATACCTTTCTTCGACTTACGGATGATTTGGACATAAAAGGCCTAACTTTCACCGCCAAATGTCTTGAGAGATTACCGGGGGTTACTAAGAAGAAAGGGGAGATTTGCTTTGACTCAAAGTTTACTACTCCTTTCCGACTTTTCTTTGGAGGTTAATATTTGGATATCTATTATATTTTTCTGAGCTGGTTTTTGTAGGTTTATTTCGTTCAGTTTGGATTCAAGATGTTTGATTTGAGAGAATGTGGGCCTTGATTTTGTGGTATCCCGTGATCAGGGATATGCACCTTGCTTGTAATCGTGATGCATTGTACTATGCTATTTTTTCTGGATATATATACTTACATTTTATCCAAAAAAAAAATAGAAAGGTCGTTGATGTTCAGGAAGTTCATTTTGAGTGACGGTTTAGAACAAATTCTGGGGATTGGAAAGTTTTGGGATCTGAAGGCTTTGAATGCTAGAGCAGTTTAAGAGAGATGAAGTTGCAGTAGGGATTTGGGTCGAAGACGGTGGATATAAAGGAGTTAGGAATAGTGGACGTTTGGTATATTGGCAGTTTCAAGGCAGCATTTAATGAAATGCGGGCGGAAAACGTTTCCGTTAGAAGAGTAACGATCAGGGGTATTTTGGTAAAAGACCGTCTCAATTAATTAGGTCTTGCCCGTACCTCGAAATATAGCTAAGTCCACATCCGTATCTGTTGTCTTTCGGTTGAGGAACTCTGGTCAGAGAAGGGGAGGTTCTCTGATGTGAGATTCTGATGATCAGAGATAGAGGTTCTCTGATCCGAGTTTCTGGTGCAGAAGTAAGCAGTTTTGGTTCAGTGAATCTCTGGTTCATGCATCTCTGGGAAGATCATCCATCATTCCCAATTCTTCCCTTAGCTTGTTAAACCTTGCCTCAGGTAAAGGCTTGGTTAGAATGTCTGCAAGTTGATCCTTTGTAGGTACATGCTCCATACATATATGCTTCTTCTCAACATGATCTCTGATGAAGTGATGTTTGATCTCAATGTGCTTTGTCCTGGAGTGAAGAACTGGATTCTGAGTGATAGCAATGGCACTAGTGTTGTCACACAACAGCTTGATCTCCTTTGCTTGAATTCCATAGTCCTTCAGTTGTTGCTTCATCCAGAGTAACTGAGCACAACAACTCCCAGCTGCAATGTACTCAGCCTCAGCTGTACTTGTTGAGATGGAGTTCTGCTTCTTGCTAAACCAGGAAACAAGTCTTCCTCCTAGCAATTGGCAGTGACCAGAGGTGCTCTTTCTGTCTAGTCTGCAACCAGCAAAATCTGAGTCAGAATAACCAATTAGTTCAAAGTTACCTCCTTTGGGATGCCATAAGCCTGCATTTGGATTTCTTTTGATGTATCTGATGATTCTCTTTGCAGCACTTAGATGGCTTTCCTTGGGCTTTGATTGGTATCTGGCACAGATTCCAACAGAGAACGAGATGTCTGGTTTGCTTGCAGTTAGATACAACAGAGATCCTATGATCCCTCTGTATGTTGTTGCATCTACATCCTTTCCTTCATCATCTGGACCAATCCCTTGTGAAGTGTTCATGGGAATCTTCACTGATGATTTGCCTTCCACTCCAAACTTCTTGATCAGATCTCTGGTGTACTTCCCTTGGTTGATAAAGATCCCTTCTGGAATTTGTTTGACTTGAAGTCCTAGGAAGTAACTGAGTTCTCCCATCATACTCATTTCAAATTGACTCTGCATCACTTGAGAAAATTTCTTGCACAGTTCTGGATTAGTACTACCAAATATAATGTCATCAACATATATTTGTACTAACAGAATATGATTAGCAACAGAGATTTGAAATAGAGTTTTGTCAACCTTTCCTTTAGTTAACCCATGGTTCACTAGGAAAAGGGACAATGTGTCATACCAGGCTCTGGGAGCTTGCTTAAGACCATAGAGGGCTTTTTTAAGCTTGTAGACACAAGAAGATTGAGTAGGAATGACAAAACCTGGTGGTTGTTCCACATAAACTTCCTCTTCAAGATCTCCATTCAGAAATGCACTCTTGACATCCATCTGGTAGACCTTGATGTCGTTGAAGGCAGCATAGGCTAGGAAGATTCTGATGGCTTCAAGTCTGGCAACTGGTGCAAAAGTATCATCAAAATCTATTCCTTCTTCTTGGCAGTATCCTTTGGCTACCAGCCTAGCTTTGTTCCTTACAATGTTGCCGTCTTCATCTGCTTTGTTCTTGAATACCCATTTGGTTCCAATGACATTCTGATGCTTTGGCCTAGGAACAAGTTCCCACACTTTGTTCCTTTCAAACTGAGTGAGCTCTTCTTGCATAGCATTGATCCAGTCTGAGTCTGCAAGAGCTTCTTCAACTGTCATAGGTTCCATCTGAGATATATAGCAGGCAAGCATTGCTTCTCTCCTTGATGTGGATCTGGTCTGGACTCCACTTCTGATTTGTCCAATTACTTGATTAGGAGGATGATCTCTTAACCAAGTTAGATCAGGTTCAGATAGGGGTTGTCTTGGATTCTCTTGATTTTCTTCTGATTCTTCATCACTCTCTTTGCCTTGTAGAATGGGATTCTGATGGTGAATTGGTATGGCAGAGTTAGTTAGCAACTCTGGTGTATCCGTCTCTGGTGGATCCAGTTCTGGAGATTCTTCTAGATTCGCTTTCTCCAAGTTTTCAGTTATGCTCTCAACAGAGTTGAGATCATCAAACTTGACATGAATCGATTCTTCAACAAGTAGAGTTCTTTTGTTGAGTATTTTGTAGGCTTTGCTGGTGCCAGAGTAGCCTAAGAATGTTCCTTCATCAGCTTTTTCTTGAAACACTTTGAGGTGATCCTTCCCATTGTTGAGTATATAGCATTTGCATCCAAATGCATGAAAGTAGCTGATGTTGGGTTTTCGTCCTTTCCATAATTCATAAGGAGTTTTCTGATGAGTCTTGTGAATCATGCTCCTGTTCTGGGTGTAGCATGCAGTATTGATTGCTTCAGTCCAGTATCTGTAGGGTAGACCTGATTCAGCAATCATGGTCCTTGCAGCTTCCTTTAATGTTCTATTTCTTCTTTCTGCAACTCCGTTTTGTTGAGAAGTTCTGGCTGCAGAGAGTTGATGCAATGTACCATTCTGGTCACAGAAATCTTGTATGACCTTGTTGACGAACTCTGTTCCTCTGTCTGATCTGATGGCTTTGACTTTCTGATTCTGCTCATTCTGTAGTAGCTTTAGCAGAGATGGTAGTTTCTGCAGAGTTTCATTTTTCTTGGTCAGAAAAATGGTCCATGTGAATCTGGAGTAGTCATCCACCATGACTAAAGTGTATCTTTTGCCACCAACACTTGGAGTTTCCACTGGTCCAAATAAATCCATGTGGATTAGATTCAGAGGGCCAGTAGATAGGTTTCCAGCAATGGGTCTGAATGAGTTCTTCACTTGTTTTCCTTTCTGGCATGCACTGCACAAGTTCTCCTTTTTGTATACAAGGTTGGGTAGACCTTCAACAATGTGATCCCTTGCCAGTTTGTTGATTGTTTTGAAATTCAAGTGACTCAGTTTCTTGTGCCATTCCCAACTGAATTTTGAATCTCCTTTGGCTATCAGGCAAATTCCATCTTTTGCAGTTGACCAATCAACTACATAGATGTTTTTCTTCCTTGTTGCTGTTAGAACCACTTCTTTAGTTGTCTCATGCTTGACAGAACATCCTTCCTTGAAGAATTCAACTGTGTAGCCTTTGTCACAGAATTGGCTAGCACTCAGCAAGTTGAATTTCAATCCCTTGACACAAGAAACATCATCAATGATTATCTGGTTCTTTATCAGCTTCCCTCTTCCTTTTGTCTGGCCATCTTTATCATTACCTCCAAAGGTAACTCTAGGCCCTTTGACTTTCTGGAACTCTGTTAGGCAACTCTTGTCACCTTTCATGTGCCTGGAGCATCCACTATCAATGTACCAATCTTGCTCAGAGATGGCTCCAGCACACAGTTCCTACAAAATTAAAAGGAAGATTTAGGTACCCAAGCAATGTTGGGTCCTAGGGGGTTATGCAGTCTTGGCAGCCGGTACCACTTTGGTCTCATCAAGTGAAACCTTGGTGGGTGGTACCCATTGTCCACCTGGTAGTCATAGTAAACGGAAGTGTGATTCACTTTGGGCAGATGCTTCTGAGGATCATGCTTCCGGTTTACATACTTCTGCATAGCCTTTTTAGTTGGGTAGAAGTCCCATATACTATCAAGATCAGAGGGGCGATTAACTTTGGGCTTCTTAAGTTGACCAGTCAACCTTTTCTGCCTAAAGCTAACTTTCTCTTGATATCTGCCTTTCTGGTGATCATTTCTGACATGATTATCATGAGTTTGTCTGTTATGGTTTTGTCTTTGATTTTTGGTATTCTGCCAGGTTCATTAACTTTTAAAATGGGTTTCTGTTGAACCTTTATCTTTTCCTTTTCTGGTCTGACATTCTCATGAATAACCTTGGTGCCAGATACACCAGCCTGACAAATGGGGCTAGAAATCAGTGGCACTATGACCTTGTCTGCCTTAGCAACCCTGGTGCTAGGCATTACAGAAGGCTCACCTGATTCTGTTGAGCCATAACCAAGACCAAAACCAGTGCCAATTTGTTGGTCAAGTACAATCTTTTCCATGGAAGACTGAGCCTTCTGGTAAGCTTTGTACTTAATCTCAAGAGGCTCTATCTCTCTTATTCTCTTTAGAAGAGAAACATTTTCAGCTTCCAGCTGATCTCTTTCCTTAATAAGAAGATTGATATTGATCTCAACCTCCTTTCTTAAGTCAAGGATTTCAACCTTAAGCTTACTGTTTTCTTCTTTAACAGAAGAATAAGTGGTTTGGATGGCTTGAAACTCTTCCCAAAATTCTGACATTGAATCAGAATCAAAGGCTCTGCCTACCGAAGAAAAACTAGAGTTGGAAGTAGAAGATACCTCATCATCAGATTGACCCATAAGGCATAGGTCTTCAGTTTCTGTGTCCAGGCAACAGAATGCTTCATCAGATTCTGATTCCGAGCTGGACTCTGTCTCAGAGAGGGGGTCCTTCTCTGGTTGTTCAGTGATGAGTGCTTTCCTTCTTCGGTGCTCGTATTTCTTTTCTCCTTCCTGGCCTTGCCTTTTGGAGACTATGGGGTGTGGACAATTGACTTTGAAGTGCCCTGGTTGTCTGCAGTTGTAGCAGAGAAGCTCTCCACTACTTTCTGATGGTTTGGACTTCTGGTGTGGCTTTCTGCTAGAGTGTGGACTTCTGCTATCCTTCGGCTTTAAGAATTTCCTGAACTTCCTAGCAAAAGCCGTCATATACTCGTCAGTTAAAAGAATAGAAGGGTCAAAATT